CTCTACCACATGGCCTAATTATACATGCCTCTACCACATGGCCTAATTATACATGCCTCATTAACTCTTCCATTGGGTGGTCAAAAATTCTCTCTGCTTGGTTCCTTAATTGTTTTGGCTATGAGTGGCACTATGTGTTCCCACATAAATTTTAAAACCAGCTTGCCATTTTGATAACAAGAGATTTGGGATTGCATGAAATCCATAGGTAATTTGGTACAGTTGACATTTTTATAGTAAATTTTGAACTTGTGAACTTAAGCCTTTCTCTTAATATTTTATAGTTATCTGCACAGCAGTCTTACACACATTATTTAAAAATTATTCTTAGGTATGCTATTTCAAATATTATTATTAAAATATTTGCTTATTCTTATTATATGAAATACAACTGAGTTTTTTCCACATTTATTGGTGCATTATACTTACATAATGATGGGATTTGTTACATGTTCATATATGCACACAATATAACAAGATGTAACTGAGTTTTATGTGCTGACTCTACATCTAGAGATTTTGCTGAAGTTATCTATTAATCACCTGCTAACAGTCTATCTACAAATTCTTTTTTTTTTAATTCCTTTTTTTTTTTTAATATCTCTATTTTGTTTTGTTTTTATGTGTTGCTGAGGATTGAACCCAGTGCCTCACATGTGGGAGGCAAGTGCTGTACCACTGAGCCACAACCACAGCCCAATTTACAAATTCTTTTTGGATTTTCTACTAAAACAATTATGTTATCTATAAATAATGACAGTTTAATTTTTCTTTCCCAATTCTAGCCTGCTTTTTATCTTGCTTGAGTATACCAGCTAGGTTCTCTGTGACAATGAGCAACGATGTCTTATAGACAGTCTTGGGAAGAAAGCTGTCAATATTTCACATCTGTTATAGGTCTTTTTACAGCCACTATTTATCAGATTAAATAAATTCCCTTATAGGATTATGCCAAAGTTTGAACATTAAATACTAATTGGATAATTGATTAGGGATCATGGTATTTTAAGATATGATAACATCCAGGTACAGTGGAGCACACTTCTAATTCTGTCTTCTTGGAAGACTAAGGCAGGAGAATTGCAAATTCAAGGCCAGCCTAGACAATTTACTGAGACCTTGTTTCGAAATAAAATAAAAAGGGCTGGGGATGTAGTTCTATGGTAGAGCATTGAGTTCAATCTCCAGTCTAGCAAAAATAAATAACATTTTTTAAAAATATGATAATGGTATTATAGTTATTGTTTCTCTAAAAGCCCTTACCTTTTAGGAATGTTTACTGAAATATTAACACATGGAAAGATATTAACATATGGAAAGATATTCTGCTTCCAAATAATGCAAAAGGAGTGGAATTAAGTAGGGGTATAAAAGACACAAAAGCATCTGAATTAACAGTGGAAGCTATATGGCAATTATATAGTTGCTGACTACACTCTGCCGAGATTTATTTATTTGTTTATTTTAAAAACTTTTTTAGTTGTAGTTGGACCCAATACCATTAATTAATTAATTAATTAATTTGTATGTGGAGCTGAGGATTAAACCCAGCACCCGCACATGCTAGGCGAGTACTCTATTGTTGAGTCACATCCCCAGCCCTGAGATATAATTTATACCACGAAATTCACTCATCCAAAGTATAAGCTGATGGTTCTATAATCACCATCACTAATTACAGAGCATTTTCAAGCAGTCACTTCCCATTTCCCAATTCCCCCAGTCCCTGGCAACCACTAAATCTTCCTATCTTTGTGGATTTGCCTATTCTACTTATTTCACGTCAATGAATCAGTTAGTTCTTGAGGTTCGTCCATGTTGTAGCATACACCAGCATTTCATCCCTTTTTTTTTTTAGCCAAATAATATCCCACTGTTTGGACACACCATGTTTTATTTAGCCATTCATCAACTGAAGTACATTTGAGTTGTTTCCACTTTTAGATTATTACAAACAATGCTTCTCTGAATATCTGTTTAAACATTTTTATATGAACATATGTTTTCAACTGTCTTGGGTATTGGTGATGTTATGATACACATACTTTGGTTTTTGTTCACAATTCCTGGCTCATAACTTCCTCCCCAAGGAAGGCCACAGAAACTAGAATTTTTCTTCCCTAAGGCAGGTCATTGAAACTCTAATTTTCCTTTACCTTTCCATCTTAGAGCTGGCCATAAAGAAATTCTCTGACTTACTCTGGTCCAATAATAGGTCATGATATTTTCCTCATTCCAGATGGGTTAAGCCCTGTGCCCTGTAGGAAGGAATACTGCATCCAGAGGCCAAGGATAATCTGAATAGATAGGCCTGCTGAGTTTCCCCACCTTAGCAATAATGCCTTCACAATGAGGTCTTTATAAAAACCCCAAAAGGACAGAGTTCCAGAAGGTTGAACACAAGGAGATTCCTGGAGGGCAGCATGCTCAGAGACACCTAAAAGCTCCGCATCCTTCTTCCATACCTTGACCCATATGCATCTCTTCATCTGTGTTTCTTGTAACATCCTTTTTTAAAATATTTTATTTTTACGTGGTGCCGAGGGTCAAACCCAGTGCCTCACGCATGCTAGGCAAGCACTCTACCTCTGAGCCACAACCTCAGTCCCCTTGTAACATCCTTTAAAATAAACAGGTAAATGTAAGCCAGTGTTTCCCTGAGTTCTGTGAGCTGGTAGAGTAAATGAATCACACCTGAGGAAGGAGTTGTGGAAAACTCAATTTACAGCCACTTGGTCAGAATCACAAGTAAAATGAGCTGGGAGCTGGGCACAATGTCACATTTCTGTAGTTCCAGCTACTTGGGAGGGTGAGGTGGGAGAATCAAGTCATTCTCAGAGTTCAAGGCTAGCTGAGCAATATAGTAAAATCTGTCTCTTTTTAGAAAAACAAAACTAAACAAAATACCACCTGGTATTTGCCACTGGTATCTAAAAAAGTGTGTGCTGGGGGAGGAGGACAGTCTTGGGAACTGAGGCCCTAACCTCTGTGACCTGATGCTCTCTCTAGGTAGACAGTGCTAGAATTGAACTGGTTTAGAGATACCCAGCGGACATCCACTGCTGCAGAACAGACTGCTTGCTGAAGGGAAGAAACCCTACTTGTTTAGAGGTCAGAAGTCTTACACATTCACTGCTGTGTGACAACAGAGGGGGATGGGCCTTCCCAGCACAAGGCACTGTGCTGATGGATCATAACTCAACTCATGAAGAATCCACAAACTAGACTTCTTGTGCTGCTTCACATTCCTATCAGCAATGTAAGAAGACTCTAATTTCTCCATATCCATGCCAATATTTGTTATTGTCCATCTTTTTGATTACAGTCACCCTAGTGGGTGTGTATGGTTTTAATTTGCAGTTCTTTAATGACAACACTACTGGGCATCTTCTCATGTGCTTACTGGTCACTTGTATATCTTCTTTGGGGACAGGGTGGTGTTGGGGATTGAACCTAGGACCTCATGCATGGTAGGTATACATTCTGCCACTAAGCTATACGCCCAACCCTAAATTTGTTTCTTTCATCATAAGAGTTTTTTTTTTTTTTTTTAATCTTTTTCAACACTAACTACACAATTATCAGAAAATATTTGCAAATATTTTCTTTCATTCTGTGGGTCGTTTTGAACTTTTCTTTTTTTCCTTGGTGCTGGGGAATGAACCAGGGGCACTTAACCACTGAACCACATCCCCAGCCCCTTTTAAAATTTTTATTTAGAGACAGAGCCTCTCTAAGTTGCTAAAGACTGGCTTTGAACTCAAGATCCTCCTGCCTCAGCCTCCTGAGACACTGGGACAGGTGTGCGCCACCATGCCCAGCAAACTTTGACAGTCTCATTTGAAGCACAAAAATTCTAAACTTGGTGAATTGATCTACTTATCAAATTTTATTTAGTTGCTTATTCTTTAGATGTCACATCTAAGACACTATGCCTAATCTAAGGTCATGAATGTTTACAACTATATTTATTCAACAGGTTTTACAGTTTAGCTCTTTCATATAGGTTTTCAATGCATTTTTAATATACAGTATGATTTTGGGCTCCAAATTCATTCCTTGTAATGTGGGGATCTAGTTGTTCCAATACTATTTGTTAAAAAGACTATTCCTTTCCTTACCAAATTACCTCCATACCCTTGCTGAAAATGAATCATGTGCCTATTTTTGAATTCTCAATTCTGTCTATCGTATTCAGTACCACAGTCTTGATATTGCAGCTTTTCAGTAAGTCTGAATTCAGGAAGCGTGACTATTATGTTTAGTGGGGTTGTGTTAGTTCAAGTTTTCTTCTAGGACTCTTGAAGTTTTATTTTGCACTTTGAAGTCTCAGACCCCTCTAGATTTTTTTTAGAATGAATAGTAAGAACCAACTCTCCTGTTTTTTTGCAATCCCTATCCAATCTATCACTACACCAAGACAGGGTGATTTCTGATAATCTGACAAACACATCTTCCTGAAAATCAAGTATCAACTCCATCATTAAGCCTTTCCTGACATAAACACATGAACAAAATTAAAATTCACTTTGTGTCACCACTGTATTCTGCACAGACTTCCATCAAAGCACCCAAAACTTTTTGCATAGATTTAATTTCACAGTCTCCTTTTAATGAGCTACAACACATAGTAGATGACTGAATGATGAGTAAATGAAAGAACTTTAAAATAACTTTAAAAGAACTTTAAAATCTGTCAACTTGATAAGCAGATAACTCATTATTTTCATATGGTAGTGTAATGAAGAAACTTAAGCTTAAGTACCTAAATATTATTTGACAAAACCTGCCAGTTTCTATAATGAAGAAGTATTGTAGATTTTACCCTGGTCCTTAACAAACGTCTATTATCATTTTAAGATTAAGGGAATCTAAGAAAAGATTCCAGGAAGAAAAGATACTTCCTGTTTTCTTTTCCACAAAGAAAACAGGAAGTATCCCAAAGTCTATCATCATAGATATAAAGCACATATGGTGAGTTAAAAGAAATCTATACTTACATGATTGCAGTCTGAAGAAATTTCATTTTCAGGCTAGAAAGAAAGAAAAACAAATGATGTTTAAAAAAAGCAAAACAAAAAATTTCTCAAGTTTTCAAATACAATTTTAAAATTCAAAATAAACTTCAATACAAGAAATCTGAACAGTCAATTGAATATGTTTCTTCAATATAGGGAGTAAAATGGTGTTATACACTTTTTAGGATATTGATAGGAAATGAACCAGAAAGGTACTTAGGAAGCATAATCCCTTTCTAAGTCAATGGTAATGGGGAAAAATAAGTCAATCTGGAAATGGGGGAAAATGCCCTAAAACAATAATAACAAAAGGACCCTTTCTTTTACATGATACTTTCTAATTTTAAAGATGATCAGCCCAGCCCTTGTAATCCCAGCCACTTGAGAGCCTGAGGCAGGATAATCACAAATTCAAGGTCAGCCTTAGGAATTTAGTGAGTCCTTGTCTCAAAAAATAAAGAGGGGGCTGGGTATATAGCTCACTTGCTTCACATGCACAAGGCCCTGGATTCAATCCCCAGCATCACAAAAAAAAAAAAAAAAAAAAGCTGGGAATGTAGCTCCGTGGCATGGCATAGCACTACTACTAGGATGAAGTCTAGTACCACCAAAAAAAAAATTCAGGCATAACACAATGATACATGTGTCTTTTCTTTAAAAAAAAAAAAAAAAAAAGTTATATATTTTTAAAAAATGACTTATGAAGAAGTGCAGAGAAGATCTATTAAAATTTAAGTGTACTGTCACCTTGGTGGACAATAAGTACGTAGGAACTCTGTTCTATTTTTGAAACTTCTTATAAGTGTATGACTAGTAAACAGAAAATTAACACAGGTTGAAATTTTATTTATTCATTTATTCCCATGAATACATCTACCTTTTTTTTTTTTTAAGTGGGGAAGTACCGGGGATTGAACTCAGGGGCACACCACCACTGACCCACATCCCCAGCCCTATTCTGTATTTTGAGACAGGGTCTCAATGAGTTGCTTAGCACCTTGCTTTTGCTGAGGCTGGCTTTGAACTCTAGATCCTACTGCATCAGCATCCTGAGCCTCTGGGATTACAGGCAATGTGCCAACTGTGCCTGGCTACATTTGCTTTTTAAAGCTAGGTACAGTTAATGGATAAAATGAACTTTTAATTCTAGGAAGAAAGAAAAGTGGTTGGGGATGTGGCTCAGTGGTAGGGCACTTGCCTTGCATGCATGAGGCCCTAAGTTTTGCCTGGTTTGCATAGCTCTGCAATACGTATTTCTTTTCATTTTCTTGTTCAGACCTTTAAAGGAGATAACCATTGTAATAAAACACACCATAAGAAAACGCTATTTCCCTTGAATTTTTGTGTTTTTTCAACCTATTCAAATCTGTTCAAATGAAGTAAGAAGTACTTACTATGAACTTTCTATGAAATATTACCAATTTTGGCTATTAACAGTGCCATTTTAAATAAAAAGGTATTTTTATTCAAAGATAAAGTTAAGGCAATAAAGAAACTAGTAAATATTAACAAATCAAGTGGCTACATATTACTTAAGGAGTAAAAAGACTTCTAGAGAAGGCTTTTAATTTCACTGCAGAATTTAGTAACAAAAATACACAAACTCACAAATTATATTAAAATTAACTTTAATTAGGTTGCTACATAATCATGACATTATAACCTTACTTTTGAAGTTTCTTCCTACTTATTTAAAAATAGATACTTTTAATGTCTTTTTACTTTTTGATTTCTGAGTCTCAGAAATCAGCCTCCACACACTGAGCTGATCCAGCTTAACTCTGTTCCCTTCCACTTCAATCTGAAGTGCTTAATAGGGGCCTTCTTGAAAGAAATTCAGAGCACTGGAGAATCTTTAATAAAATGCCATGCTAGGCATGGTGACACACACTGTAATCCTAGTAGCTTAGGAGGCTGAGGCAGGAGGATCCCATGTTAAAAGCTAGCCTCAACAATTTAGTGAGACCCTGTCTCAATAAAAAAGTAAAAAAGATCTAGAGATTCAGCTCAGTGTGCAAGTGCCTCTGGGCTGAATCACTGGTACCATATAAATAATAGGGCTTGATTAGCTTTAGTCCAAGAAGAAAAACAGCATGGAATACGAAAATCTAGAATTACTAAAATAGAATAAGGCTAAAGAGTTTCTTCTTTTGTTAACAATTAATGAAATTATATTATGGGGTGATTGCAAGAAATGAATCAACAAGTATCTATTCATGTATCCTAAACTTCCATAGGCATTGCTGCAGGATATAAAAGATTTTGTCTAAGTCTCTGATCTTAGATAGCTTACAATCCAATTGTGCAGATAAAAGAGTAAAATCAAACAATTAAGCAAGTGTAGGAACCTGAGGAAGGCCGGATGAATTAGAACAGTGACCAGAAAGGAATGAAATGATTCCTCCAAAGAGGAAGTTACACGTTTCCCTAGGGCTCAGAAAGAATAGAATAAAGCTATTAAAAAAGAAGAAGAAGAGTAAAAGAAAGAGGCGGGTACAGTGCATGCCTATAATCCTAGTGGCCATGGAGGCTGAGGCAGGAGGATTGAGAAGTCAGAGCCAGCCTCAGTAATGGTGAGGTGCTAAGTAACTCAGTGAGACTTGTCTCTAAATAAGATATAAAACAGGGTTGAGGATGTGGCTCAGTGGTCAAATGCCCCTGAGTTCAATCCCCAGTGGAAGGGAGGAAGGAAGGAAAGAAGGAGGTCAGCATTTAATTTACCTTTTAATATATTTTTCAACATGTGAGATAGTGAAATAAAAAAAAAACAAAATCCAAAATGAAATCCTCATCAGTTTCAGAATCCTACCGTGACCCCACCCTTCAAATTAGAGGCATAGTGCTGGCTCCTAGCCTGTGGACTGCCACATCATCAACTGCTCTCCACCATTCTAGAGACAAAAAATCTGTCTCTTACATCAAGTGTTTATTCACTGGAAAGAAAACTGTTCTCTTACAATGGGAAAATGAGAATAAAATTTTATGAAGCATACCAGTAAAGAAACTATTATGAGCCAGATACAGTGCTATATGCCTGTAACCTCAGCTACTCTAGAGACTGAGGCAGGCAGATCACAAGTTCAAGGCCAGCAAGACCCTTTGTCAAAATGAATAAAGGACTGGGGCTGTATGTCACTGGTAGAGCATTTGCCTAGCATATGCAAGGCACTGGGGTCAATCCCACTGGAGGGAGAGAGGGTGGAAGGAAAAGAAACTATTACGAATAGAGGAAAGAGAAAAAGAAGAGAACCTAGCACACCTCCCAACCCCAACACATCAATGACTAAACCAGAGAAGGATCTTGGCTAATATTGAATGAATAATGCAGTAATGTAGTAACAGTGATAGGAACTGAGTACTTGGATACACTTGCCTGACTCCAATAAAGGGCATGTATGTGTGGGAAAAGACATAAAGCCACCATTTAACTCAGGCAAATGCTACACTCATTTCTTACAACATGAAAGACTAAAAGAATAAATGAAATTGTATCCTATTTTATAGATGAAGATACTGAAGTACAGAGAAACTAAGTAACCGGATCAAAGGTATAGTGGTAGGAGATATACTGGGATGTAAATAATGACAACTATGTGCCTGTACTCCTTTCAGCTTGATGTCTTCCTAAAAAAGCTAGGTAGATAATGTGGCTCAGAGTGAGCCTAATTATGGGGGGCTTTGGATGGAGCAAGAAAAGGAAAGGGTAGACAGGATAAATGTGTTAATCTAGTGCTCTAGAGTGATTTGTCTGACAGTTAAATGATTAATTTTGATGCAGGCAGTCCAGATAAGAAAATGATCAAGAAATTAGATAAACTAGGGATCTGGATTAGCCCTTAAATAACCATAGTGAGTATAAAAATTTTGCTTAGTTATTCTGGCTTTTCTAAATCAATGACTCAAATATTTTGGGTATTATTCACTTAATGTACTTTGTTGTCCTAGTTGGTAAACCAAAGCTGAAATCATTGATTTTTAAACTTAATCTCCCTGCCCGTCCTTTAGGTTCTATAAATTTAGAGCTGGTTTTAAGGGAAGGGATAACATGATAGGAAAGGAACAAAAGAAGTACAGTATTCAGCCATCGAAGCTGTGTAGCTGTACAAAGGTCACTGAACTTCTCCCAGACTCAAGGCTAGGCTTTGGCACAAAATGGATTTCTTCATGTAGGATCTAGAAACAATTTTTAGGAATCCAATATTTTCTTGAAACCCAATATTGTGTATGTAATTTTACTCTTCTGAGAATAGGATCCACAGCTGTTACAGTCCCCCCAAAGTTTATAAAATCGAGAAATAAGAATTATTGGTTGATGCCAGGCACAGTGGCGCACACCTATACTTCCAGCAGCTTGGGAGGTGGAGGCAGAAGGATGGAGAACTCAAATGCAGCCTTAGCAACACAGCGAGGCCCTAAGCAACTCAGAGAGACCCTGTCTCTAAATAATAAACAAAAAAGGCTGGGGATGTGGTTCAGTGGTTAAGCACCTCTGAGTTCAATCCCTGGTACAAAATTTAAAAAAAAAAAGAAAGAAACATTGGTTGGACACTTTTAAGCTTCTTTCCAACTTTATGAGTCAATAAAATCTGAGATGTGGAATTTTTTAAAAGATATATATATATATGGTTGTGGATGAGCCTTTATTGTTATTTATTTTTATTTGATGCTGAGAATCGAGCCCAGTACCTCACATATGCTAGGCAAGTGCTGTACCACTGAGCCACAACCAAAGCCCCTGAGATGTGGAATTTAAAAACAGAAGTATGTATTGAATTTCAAGTCTTTTATTTTAGCTAATTTGTATATGATGATGGCCACTGCTGTTTTATTTATTTTAATCATTCTTTCCTATCCAAGTCACAACAGGTTTGAGAATAAACTACTGAGAAGCTTGGGTGTAAATATTCTCAATTGAATCAACCATCCCATTCACTTAGGATGATGTTTTCACAGGAAGTATGAGCCCAGGAACTATGGTCTCCCCAAGGTGAACAGGCTGAGTGATAGTCTGGCTC